ATAATTGCATATGGATTATAATCTCATAGCCTAAATTTAACAAGATGAAAGAACTCCGCCATCGTTAATGACTTATAGCCGTTGATGTATGCAAGATTTCAATGCTTCAATATTTAGAAATTAAAATCACTTATATCGTACCATATTTATCGATTGCATTACATTATTGTTAATTATATCATAAAACTCACTTGTATAGTTGGATCTCGTGTCTATTAAAATGTCATCTATAATATGGTTAGAAAAAGAAAATGAGATCGCTTTAGCATTGCTCCAGTATGTAAATGTTTTAGGCAATGCAGTCACCAAGACACCTACTAAGATGATGTCACAAGAAAAAGAATTATCTGGTATCCATTCAAATGGCATTGTAATAAATTATCCGGATAGTAAATATTATGTCACTATCCGGTACAGTGGAAGGGAAGTAGCTTCCCACATAGAAGGGTACAATGCAATGATGCCTTCTAAACCTTTCATATCCTCTCCAATGATACAATGATCAATGATGTAAAAATACTATGCATAAAATGGAAAAGTAAAAGAAATCTTGCAGAGGGGACAAAAAAGAAAAAGAAAAAAAAAGGATCCTTAACAATTGAAGAGGCAATTCCCAAGCAAAAGTTGTGTCTTCACGGAAACTCAAAATCAGGAGAGCAGATTCATACCCTGAAAATATTTTTCGCCTGCCACGGGAGAACAAACGAGCAAATAAGCATCATGACAATTTATCAGTAGGTTTCGATTAAACGAAAACTATTACTGTGATCTTACTTGCTCTAGCACTAGAAACATAATCACATTCCAAGATCCTAGCCGACCAAAGTTTGGGAGGAACCCTTTATAAAAGGCCAAAAATCCCTGCAGTATATCATCTGTCATGAGTTCCATAATATTTAAGGAAGCTGGTGACAAAAATTTCGGCCTTTTTACTTAAATGAAATGCTTTGAAGGGTAATGACTATGAATGGTACAGCCAGAGTGGAAATACGGATTAAGACTGAAATAAACCAACATACCTCATACTTCAAAGTTTTGATGAAGCAGTCAAAGGTGTTTTTGTAAGTAGAATCTCCCATCATTCTAGATTTCACCTGGAACATAACAAGCAGGGCATACAACCCAACATTTCCTTACTAGCTCATCCATCAAAAACTATATAAAATTGTTTTGTACAATAAGAAAATGTTATCACAATCTTTCACTAGCACACCCTTGTTACAGCCTGCACCGAACAATATGCAGGTTATCGCAAAACCAGCATTCCATGATTTTTAAAATTTTGAGAATAAATATAGCATGCACAGATCTTTTTTTCTTCTTTGGTTGGAATATAGCATGCACAGATCAAGCGTCCAATTTTCAGTACCATATTCATCATATAATCTTCAATATTTTCATTTCCAATGAGAGAGAGAGAATGAGTGAACGAGAGATTTATCATTTCATAACTTCTCTTTAAAATTCTGTTTTATGTTTACACTTCAGCTGTAATTTCCATATGTTAATGAATTAATATTGAAATTTCAGTTCTAGAAAGCCAAGATCAATATCGAAGTTGAAATTAAAAGGTTGATGATCTGCGATGAAGAATTTATTGTTTAAAAAATATCTCTAAAGTTTCCTCTCTTTTTTTGGCAATAGTGCATTTGCATTTCACTGTAGTTGCAATTCAAACCAATGTATTTATTTACGGCCTTATGAAGATAAATTGGAGTACCAAACTTATTTTTACAACTAATTGGTTGCAGAATGCATACCACATCAACAGGAGAGCCAATACAAACCGCAAAAAAACCGGCACCCAGACCAGCTAGGAGATGAGTGAAAATATTGTCCATGAACCCTGGAATTTTCAAAATCGTCTGCATAAGTATGAAGAATCAGGACTCACTGGGATTTATCATCCTAGATGTAAAAAATTCGAAATCACTTGCAAATTATAAAGATAATTGAACTTAAGAGACGGAATGCTCTGATATTACCTCCTTTACTTGATCATAACTGGCTAGTTCAGCAGCATTTATAATAGCATTTCGTGCTACATTTGGCCCCAGCCCAGTCCACAGGGCCCCTACTCCTTCCTGATTATTTTGACAAATATTAATAAACAAAGACGAATAAGCTGATGTGAAAACAAAGTTAAAAAAAGGTAAACTAAAAACTTTGTTCTACTTTAAGTAAACTAACCTGTCTCACTATAGTGAAATAAGCATCTACAGCTCCAGAATAACGCCTAGGAACTCCAGCTGGCAATTTTCCTTCAGCTTGAAGTCGAACCTTCACAAGGTCCGTTGGATTAGCCACTATGATTGCCAGAGCACCTGTCAATACAAAAGTTTGTGATACGAGTATGCTGTTAAATTTACTTTTTCAGTTGAAAAGGCAAGGAAGATAATGGCAACATACGCAGAGTATGTTAGTGAATAGTGCGCAATACAATTAATTCTAGCAAGATGGTTGCCAAATATACTAACCAGTCAATAGAGCAGCAAGTATTTTGTGGAACAGAGGAATATCTCCAACAAAAGCACTGCCAACAAGGAAAATTTTGACCTGTTCAACATGCAGTTTATGGATATGCAGAATGTGTCACAAATAAAGCATTTAACAGGAATTCATAATTGCATTTGTGAAAGAAACATATCTGGAACTCACAGGATCATATAACCCAATCCTTAAGCCTCCGTAAATACACTGGCGTTGTAATCCTGGAATTATGCCATTCCAAAGTGCTGCTAAACCTTCTTCCCTAGCAATGGTAGCCATAGTACCGAACAAGCCCCTATAGTTCTGTGAGCCAGTTGCATCCCCCACAACTGCTTTCTTTTGGAGCTGGAGCCTGACTTTAGCAGTGTCTAAAGGAATGGTGCAGAACTGCACAATATCCATGCAGACACCAAATGGGAAGAATCTCTTAAATGTTATATACCGAGCAGCAATTGTTACAAATACGCATATACACAGGACCTTATCAGGCTGCCAAGCATCAGCTAGAGTCCTATATTGTCTTAATGCTGCCAACTCATTTGAATCGTAGCTTAGCATTAACCTTATAACCTAATCATATCATAGTTAAAGGGTTGTAATCAATATTCCCACTTTTGCACCCTAAAATTTTTAGTTTCTTTCAGTTAATCCACATTATTATACCAGGACACGCTGTGAAACACAAACAAGAAGCAGCTACCCTTACATTTTAACATTCAAGAATGCTACAAACTCAGAATCCAAGTAAAATTTAAACCCAGAAACCATCAAGGAAACATATTGACATTATGCTAACTACTTTCCACAAATTGAACAACAAGCATTGATCTTTATATAAAACTGGCATAACCCAAGTAACAAAATACATTTATTAAGCTAAAAAACAGAAATTAAAGCCAGATAATCATCAAACAGCTAACCCAGTTAAGTAATATTTCTTAACTAAGAAGTAAAACTAATAAATCAGCTGAAAATATACAGAGGCATTAACATAAACAGAAGGATCAACGATACCTCAGCGAAACAGGCAGCGAAAGCACTGCACAGGAAAGTTTGCAAGAATGAGATCTCAGACCTGGGGCTGAGATCTGCCATTGGAAGGTGCAAAACGAAAAGCTCAGAAGCAAGGATTGGGAAAATGGGTAGGCAAATTTTTGGTTGAGTTGAAGAGAGGGAATGGCGTTGAGGTTATAAAGAAGGTCGATAACGAGTAATTATGAAGGAAAGGTACATGAAAGAAATAGTATGGCCTTCTTTTTGGTCTCCAATCAAAGCTTTGCAAAACTGAGTTTTTCACTCCTTGCTATTCTTGTCTCTCCTGTCGTCATCGTTTCAATTATTTTAGGGGGTTAAGTGATTATGGGTTCTATTAGTTTAATCCTTCTGAACTTCAAATTCTTCAATGTGATTTGTTGATGTGTGATTATTGGCTTTCCTTTGCATTTTAAATTTTTTGTAATATTTTTATTTTCTTAGAATTTATTTTTGTAGACCAATTCAAAAAATATTGAAATATCAGTTTACATTATCAAATTATGCACACAATTCAACAGATTAAAAAAAAAAGGTATGCACGCTGTAAAAAAACCATCATAAGGAGCTTGTATCTCAAGTGGTTATAATCATTTATTCATGTACGGAGTCTAGATTCAATTTTCCCCTCCTCCAATATCACTCGCAATTTTTCTCATTTAGTTGCTTATCATTTACATTTGACTTTTTGGTCTTAATATCCAAAGAGAATCTTCTGTGTAATATACTTTATACATCATGATAAATTCTTCATCTAAAAAAACCATGATAATGCTATTAAAATAAAACGAAGAAAATTAATTCAGTGACGTTTTTTTAAATTTCTTTTCGACTGTTTTTTATTTATTTTCTGTCATGTGCTGAGAAAGGGACTCGTTGACGTACATCAACCGAAAAAAGTGGTGTGGGGGAAAGGTACGTAGTCACAATGCTAAATGTGGAACTTGACATATTGCATCGTCAATTTGTTCAGTGTGTACTAACTAGTAATTACCTCCCCCAACAACATTTTCAAAACATTTTAATCGTAACATAGATGTTTGTGGGATGACTTATAGCTCAAGAAATAAATTATAGTTTAATCTTTGTTGTACTTAAATGTTGAAGTGGCTAATTCTTATTGGTGGATATCAACAAGTCAGTTGGGTTGGAGTAGTTAGAGGTGACGTGTTCGATTTCATCTTCCCCTAATATATATGATTATATCATTTAAAAAAACCTCGAGTTACATAAAAGAAAAAGTTAAAAAATGTAAAAGAAAAGTGTATTGACTGGCAGATCAATAGTCTCAGATTCTCATTCTCATGACACTTTGATAGTGAGTGTGAGATTTGACTATCGCTTTGTGTTTAAAAAAAGAAACAGAAAAAAAAACTTGGGCTGGGCTTGGATCCCATACAGCCCACGATTATTTCCGGCCCAATCTTGAAGGTGCAGGTGCATTTAAGCTGGACCATCACAATAGGCAAGATATCCTTCAAGTCGAGCGCGGGAACACAATTCCACGAAATCCCGCCAATTGAAACCCAAAATTCCCAAACACGGTTCATTTCCCTCCTCCACTATATAAACCCTTGCCCCATACCCCACCCACTCAAACCCTCAAAATCTCCTGCACCTATTTTCCCCCCAAAAGGAAACCCTAGCCCCAATCAAGAATCCGTACACCTCCACGACCCGGAAACGATGTTGGAGCTCCGACTGGTTCAGGGGTCGCTGCTGAAGAAGGTTCTTGAGTCCATCAAGGACCTCGTCAACGACGCCAACTTCGATTGCTCCGCCACTGGCTTCTCCCTCCAGGCCATGGATTCCAGCCACGTGGCGCTGGTGGCGCTGCTGCTCAGATCCGAGGGCTTCGAGCACTACCGCTGCGACCGCAATATCTCCATGGGCATGAACCTCACCAACATGTCCAAGATGCTGAAATGCGCCGGAAATGATGACATCATCACCATCAAGGCTGACGATGGCAGCGATACTGTCACCTTCATGTTCGAAAGTCCCAGTATGCTCCTCTTCTTTCTTTCGTTTCATTTTTGCTGTTCAATTCGTTTTCTTTTTGCTGGTAATGCTTGTTTGTTTTTCTATTAACTTTGAATTTTTGTAAATATTGTTTTTAGTTGTTGAATATGATAAATTGTTGGAAAACAAAAGAAACATGACATGCAAGTCTCGAAATTGAAGCCAAACTGAATTTGATAGATGTCTCATAATTATTTGGCATGAAAATTATAGCCTGATAGTGTTTGGTTGGAAATTATGGCCTTTCTGTTAAGTAGGAATTATATATCATCACTATAAAATGTTAATGTTGTATAAAGATAAACTGGGTTTGTTTCTGTTAACTTGATCTTGGCCGAGGTTTATCATTTCATACCTATCTAGGTTCTGATGCAGAGTTTTGTTTACATGGTCCTGCCATGGTTGTTCTTTACTTCAATGCTAGGTAGTAATTACTGATATTGATTGTAATGTGGAGGGTTTGGAAATTTGTAACTATTGATATTGAGAGAAAATAAACAGAAATGATGAAAGTTATAATGAAGTGGACAGAAAGAAATGTAGGGAGACATTATCCAATAGTGGTAATTGTTAGAAATGTTTTAAAGAAATTTTGATTATGTGACGGCTTGTTACCATGCTTCAATGTTGTTTTCTAATTGATGTATTTTGTTCTTTGGGTAATGGATCATAGCGCAAGATAAAATTTCTGATTTTGAGATGAAGCTGATGGACATTGATAGTGAGCACCTTGGAATTCCGGAGGCAGAATACCATGCTATTGTTAAGATGCCTTCATCTGAGTTTGCTAGGATATGTAAAGACCTCAGTGGCATTGGTGATACAGGTACTGTTAACTTTTGTCTCCTTGGAATATTCATGATTCTCCAAATTTGATGTTGATTTTTGAGTAATGGGTTGATGTTGCTTGCAGTTGTGATATCTGTGACCAAGGAAGGTGTGAAGTTCTCTACAAGAGGGGATATTGGCACTGCTAACATCGTCTGTAGGCAGAACACTACAGTGGACAAGGTATTGGTGTTGTATCCCTGTAATTATGTGACAGTGTCCTCACAAAAACATTAATGTACAAGCTGTAGGGTTATTGGTATTGCAATCCAATGTCTAACTCTGTTTCTTTTCCTTTTTAATTTTTGGGAATTGCAGCCTGAAGAAGCAACAGTTATTGATATGAATGAGCCAGTTTCATTGACATTTGCTCTGAGGTACATGAATTCCTTCACAAAAGCGACCACATTGTCGAACACAGTTACAATCAGCCTGTCTTCTGAACTTCCGGTTGTGGTTGAGTACAAGATTGCAGAGATGGGCTACATCAGGTTCTACTTGGCTCCTAAGATAGAAGAAGATGAAGATGAGACGAAGCCTGAAGTTTGAGTGTTATGCCACGGCAGAGGCATATACTTGTTTGTTTACTTGAACTGCACTGTTTAAAAATCCATGTAGAGGATTTTTTTTCATATACGCTTCGATCTGAGGTTTTCCTTGCTTTCTCTGTGACTGAGTTGGCAAATCTGTAGTTTAGGAATCTTCAAATCTATTAGGTTCTGTGTTGTAGGTTTTTAATTGAAAACATTGTTCTTTCTCATCTCCTTTTCCTTTTTTAGGGTTCATGTTTGATTTGTGGTTATATAATCAAATGAACTCTGCAAATGCTCACTGATAATGGTGCCTAGTAGCTATGCGAAGGTAAAAGTTTCATGTATAACTAAATCATCATATCATCTTTCATTGATTTTCAAAATTGAAGAATGATATACAGAATTACAACACCAAATCCTGCTATGGCTTAAAAGTAAATGATTCAAAATCCTCTGTAAACAACCCTAGAACGAACAGCAATAAAATTGAGCTAGCACATCAGGGATCAAGCTGGCAAAGCAATAAAAACATGTCCTTTCTGATTAGACAGACAAGCCCTCTTCCTTTCTTTTGCATAAAAATATTTTGAGAGGGTGCAACTCAAAAAATCTGCTGCATGAACCCATTAAAAACTCTGGGTTATTCTCATCTACTTCGTTTCTTGGCTTCGCTGTAGAGAATGACTCCTGTTACTGTGAGAGAATAACCAAGCATCCCAGTCACTGATACAGGATTTCTAAATATCAAAATTGACACCACCACAGCAACAGCTCCTTTTGCATTTCCCAACACCTGGAAGAGCCCCAATATCTCAAATTAGGGTTCAAATACAATGAACCAAATAGGAACCACATTGAGCAAGAATGTCACAAACAATATAGGAACCAAGGAGAAAAGCTTCTGTAGGTGGGCCTATCTATGCCACGTGATAGAGCTGAGTATGAGAAAGTCTAGTTAAAGAACAAAACGTGTTTGATCATCAATTTCGAACACATTCTATATTTTAAATTACTACTCAACACTGTCACGTGACATGAACAACCTCACATAAGTTTTTCTCAGAACAAAGATAGCATTGAGATGAGAATTGACTAGGTAACATTAAGTAGGCAAACAGACACGCATTTGTCCCACATTTAAGCTTTGTTTTGGATAATGCATTTGTGGAAAATAAATTCAAAATTGCAAAGAAGAGGGATAATATTTTTACCTGGAGGGTCAAGGCACTGGTGTGTTTTGTTACCAAGAAATTGGTCAAATTGACAAAATATGCGAGAGCAGAATTGAATACTAGATACCATACGATGGACACATCATCTCTTGCAAGTGCAATTGTGATCCCAACCACATCCTCTTCCATATAAAGTGCTGCAGGTAGAAGGAATGCAACAGCTACAGGACCCATGTACATGAGGAGGTTCATAGAATTAAGCTTTTCCCTGATAAAATAATTAAAATTGGAGATGGCTACTATCAATCAGCTGATCAATCAGAACATCACATTAATTGATAGAATTGTTCAAAATCTTACCCTTCAGAAGACAGCAATATCCCTTGGAGCACCGACTTGAGTGCCCTTGCTGCTGTAGCACCAACACACATTATGAATCCAAAGACATGAAAACTTGGTTCTCCCTTCAGTCAATGGAAAGAGAAGATTATGAATATTCAGTAATGAAATGATCAACAGCTCTCACTCTCACAACTTCAACAACAAATATATATCTAACCAAACAAAATCCTTGCTTTTAATGTTTTTGGCAGTGAGAAAAAGCAAACAATGAGTACAAATTTACACAGTTTATACTAACCCCTCAGAAATTCTTGCATTCAACGAATGTATATAACGTTTTTCTTTAGTAAATTTAGGTTTTAGCCAAAAAAAAAATTTCACTTTTGGAAAAACCCAAAGCTTTTTCAAAAAAGATAGAAAAACCTCTCAACTTTCAAATCAAAGACATGCAAATATAAAGGATTCCTTAGGAAATCCAAAAATAAATAAGGGCAATTTTGTCCATTTTGGCTTCTTTTACAAAATTTCTCTTTCCTTTGTGTTTTTCCAAAGTCTCCCTTTTTCTTTCAATAACCCTCTCTCGTGATGATCATACAACCAACGAAATTTTGAGAAAATATATTTTGCGTCTTAACTGTAAAAAAATTAAGGAATTTATGACAATGAAATCAATAAAAAGAAGAAGAAAAGAAACCCTTAAAATTCATGAAGCAAGAACGTCAACTATATTACACAAAATGAATACAACCCAATCAGGAAAATTAATTCATCAAAGGGAGGTCCAATCCAAAAAAAAGGAGAAAAGGGCAACATTGATAATCACAATAAATTTAAAGAAAAAAAATTAAAAATGAAGGAGCTGTTCTTACCCCACTGGCAATAACAACACCGGTGACAACCGGTATGAGAGTAACATAGGTGAGCCAGCCCTCTTTCTTGAGGGTCATAAGATACGCGAATACCGCGGTGAAAAACGGCGTCGTGGCGCCAACAGCCTGGTTAAACGAGACGGCGAGATACCGGAGCGAGATGTTCCCGCCAACGACGGACAAACAGAAGATGAAACCGAGGGATGATATCTTGAGGAACTGGACACGTGACTTGATGCTCTGCATGGGCACCACCTTGATCCATGAAATGGCTACGTAGCTCAGGAGAGAGCAAGCCAGCATGTGGCAAAGGGTCAAGAAGATCGGGTACTTGAACCCGTAATTGCTCAGCAAAAACTTGTTCAACAACAAGACTCCGATGTTCGATGAGTACCAGGCTGTTATTAATCCGACCGTGAAAACCTTGTCTGACATTTTTCTTTCCGGCTTTTTTTCGTTCACAAGCTTAATTTTTTTGGTTTCCTTGTATGTTGGAGGAAGCAAAGGGTTGAGTTCATGGATGTTGTTGAGAGAGAGAGAGAGAGAGAGATTTGATCACAGGGTGGGATTGGAGGTGATAGCAATGGAGGAGATGGATGTAATGATGGATCTAGGGAAGGTGAAGGGTCGATAGGACACAGAATTGGAACGTAGATTTCGAGCTTTAAAGTCGGAAGAGTATTTTGGTTCTTCACGTTTATTATGTTTTGGGTTTTTTTTTTTTTCTTTGGATGTATGTTATAATTCCAGTATGAGAAATGTGACTGTAAAATGATAATTGCGATGGTGATCAACAGTTGGGATTCGTCCATGAGTGTGAAAACATATACAAGTTTTCGGTTAAATCAACGGTTGTTAGTCATTTGCCTCCTAGCAAATTTTGTAGGTCCATATGTTTCATGTCAGAGATATTAGATGAATATCTTTTGCTTTATTTCACCTGGCGGTATTAATGTTTGGAAATTAAACTAGATTTGTCGATGGCTTCTTTAGTTCCAGATTTCTTTCACCTGACGGTCAGTTCACATGAGAATGGGCTTGGTTGTAAAGGACATGCAGCTCAAGTGGTTAGCAACGTTTAGGCCATCCCACATGCGAGATCTTATATTTGGCTCTCCCCTCTGTGAATATCGCTTGTATAAGAAAAATATTCACAAGAGTTTTGGTCATTGTATGCCATAATGTCAAGCACAGCTCACAAAAATCATTGACAAGCTTACAAGAAAATCATCATTATATGGCCAGGACAACATGCACTCTACAATTTGCCAACAAAAGTTCAGATCCAGGGGAAATTTACTCAAAACTGTTCCTTTTTTCTCTCTCTGCAAATTGTATCTGAAAATTTTCATTTGGCTAGAGGACCATGTCTAGAACTTGGCAAACTTAATTACACATTTCTTGATGCTCTCCATCTCTTCATATAACAAACAAAGAAAAAACACTCGATAACAAAAACAATGAAGCAGAGGAACCAGTGAGCGGTGGATCATGTTGATGACTATTCGTGATGTGCACAGTAAGAGCCCCGAACTTTGAATGAAGAATATGAGGAGAATAAAATTGTGTGGAGGAAACCTGGGAAAATGATTAGGGTGATTCCCTCCAGTCTTCACCAGCATAAAATGCATTGTCCCCAAGTTCTTCCTCAATTCGAAGCAACTGTAAGAAACTTTGGCCAGTCAGTTTCAAATCATGGCTTACTTTGTAACAAGACATATATGGCGCTAAAAACTATAGACCTAGAGATGGTTGGACCTCTTGGAAAACTGACCATCTTTATCATATCAGCCCTATAGGGTATGTTATTAGAAAGTAGCAGTAGCGAGTATAAGAATTGAAGAGTATACAAATGACATTTTAAAAAAAAAATTAAAAAAAGAAAATCAGAAGAAATGAGAGAAAAAACGAGAGGATGAAATGCACCATGGACACGTAAGTTATAGTGTAGACAAATATAACAGTTGTATCGATTCAACTTGTCCTTGGACAATTCCATTCATAATTACTTGTTTCTATAGCATAAGCTAGGAAAAAGGTAACTGTCATATATGGAATATCAAATATGGAGCTGCAAAAGTACTTCACATACTCTCCATACAGGATTGCAGAAAAAATCTGATACCAAGAGCTTGTTATGCAGCTGATAAACAGAAGAACCATGGACATGGTAAGTAAATATAAAAGTTGACCTGGTTATACTTAGCCAGCCGCTCGCCTCTGCAAGGAGCACCAGCTTTGATCTGACCTGTTGACAGACCAACAGATAAGTCTGCTATGAAGGAATCTTCAGTTTCACCACATCTGTGGGATGTCACCACTCCCCAGTGCGCATCCTTTGCCAACTTCACCACTTCAATGGCCTCGGAAACCGTCCCAATCTGGTTGATCTAATTTTGAATCATAGTAATATAGTATTAAAAATAGCTCAATACCATAGAACAATAACAGAATATGCACCTAAACCAAATTTTCTTATTTCATCCAAATACAAGCTAAATACCTTTACAAGAAGAGCATTACAAGTGGACTCCTCTATTGCTCTCTTAATACGTTTTGGATTCGACATTATCAAGTCATCTCCAACTACCTGCAAAAGCACCAGTCTTCAAGTTAAAACATCTAGCCATATCTCGGGTGTAAAATAGAAAGATCCTTAGGGAATCTGATAGACAACTAACTAATTTATATAGGGAATCTCCTAAATTACTCAGCCATGGTAACAGGCAAGCCTACCAAATTATTCTTATAAGTTAATCTTTACATCCAACAGGATTTGCAGTTACTACTACCTTAAATATTCACAAGGATGTAAAATAAGAACAGTTACAATACCATGTCTAGTTACTTTCTACACAATTCTCCATGAGGAGTATCAATGTCTTCTCTGGCCAAAGCTAATTCAGTCGAAGAATGCAAGCACCAGGACACAAAATAAATCACCAAAGAGAAAAAATAAACAAACCTGACAAATTCCAAGACCAGAAAACTTTTTGGTGTGTTCCCAGTCCTCCTTATCAAATGGGTCTTCAATTGAAACAATTGGGTACTCTAACACCCCAAAAACAGGGGAAAAGAAGAGATAAAAGGTTAAGTCACAGAGAAAATCAAACACAAAAACATTGAGAAACTTAAAAAGAGATAATTATGTACCATTACAAAGTTCTTTATACATCTCAGTCATATCTTGGCCTGACTTGAAATTTTGTCCCGACTTAGTTGCTGTTTTGTAGTCCAGGTCATACTTTGTACCTGTATCATGGGAAATAGAAAGCAAAATATCAGCATTTAAGTCTATATGAGCTCGTGTTCTTTTTAGAAAGAAGATAAAATTCTAACCATTACTACAAGGTAATTTTAGCCTCAGCTTTCCACCAAGAATATATCGGATGTAGTTATTTTCGACATTTTCTTATGTTACAGAAAGACCAATTTTCAAGAAAGATCCATCACCTATGCAAAAGTCAGTAGCAGCAACATCAATTGCTAGTTTTATTTGCTCATTATAACCTGTTCTGCTGATCGCCTCTTTTACAAGATCCAAGACTTCTTTAATGCTGCCAAGAGATATAGAAAAATGATAACAATAACAAAAGGCATATCAAATAACCTTTTAGTAAATTTATCCTTTTCTCATACGCCACAAAGTAACAACAGCCATTACAATTAGTTGTGCAAAGCTAAAACAATCTTTAATGCATTGTAAGAGCTTGCAAGATGGTTGGTTTTCCTCTTTCGCAAGTTAGCTTTCATTTTTAAAAGGCAGTTTCAGGGGGACTCCCATAAGGTAAAGAAATTAAAGAAGATCACAGATCATAGAAAAAACACTTGCCTGGAGATGTTTGGAGCAAAACCACCATCTTCTCCAACATTACATCCATGTGCGCCATATTTTTCTGTAATAACAGCCTGTTCTTTTTACAAACAATAATAAACTATCAATAATAACGGGACATGGTGGCATCTCCTTGTTCACATGTACAGAGCAAAGTCCATTTGACCTTTAAGCAGCATGTGGTTAAATTACCGCTTAATAAAATTTCAAGTGGAAATTTTTTTTGCTCAAGTCCGTTACTTTTTAGAACATAACCATATGCTATAAAATTTGCAACATAAATTAAGGACAATTACTTTTAAAAAATGAGCAACTCAATAAGTCTCTCAAACTAGAACACATTTTCACGTCACTAGGAGCAATACATTGGATATAATCTCAAAAGTTAAACAGTTGAGATGAAATACCTTCAAGTGATGATAGGTTTCCGATCCCATTTGCAATGCCTCCTCAAACCTGTTAGCTCCAATTGGGAGAACCATAATTTCCTGAATATTTAGAAGTCAACTTTAATTATAAGGACATGCTACACATTATTTGAAAGTGTTCATGTTAAAAATATTACAAACGAAATCACTAAACAGCCTCAGCAGGTTAAAACCAATATTATAGGATGGAAAAAGAGAACATTAAAGCGGTGGTTTCTGAAACAATCACATTCATGTAGTAGCTTCTAGAAGTATCTAATTCGTGACTTCCAATGTAGTTAGATTCCAAGAACCAATGATTTTAAAATTTTAAATTCCGACCTTATTTTAAGTGAAAATATCATACTTTCATGATGTCAATACAAATACTCACAATGACAAAAATGGTGCAAATCTTGAAACCCTCTCCCCACATAAATCACAACCCAAAACAGAAGATTTGGAAAGTACATATCTAAACATTAAAGCTTACCAGAGCATACCTGAATGGCCAGATTATTCCCAGCACGCTTTCCCCCACTTATAACAGTGAAAGCAGGGACAGGCAGGGTCAGTTGTGATTTTCCAGAAAGGTCGGCAATATGTTTGTACAGTGGCACCTGATGTTTATCTTTTCTCAGAAACTTTGGGGGAAAAGAGTACACAAGTATTACCAATACTTAGAAAGTAATAATAGAAAAGAGTCATACGTCTTTTTGAGCAGCTCCAGCTTTGCAAGCAGCAATTGACACAGCTAGTATGGCATTTACTCCAAGTTCACCCTGAAAGTTGATTTAAGAGTATAATAACTTTATTTTTTTCCGAAAAAACAAGAGAAAGAAAGAAGAAACTAAGAATTCTCCTTTTTCACTACTTAAGAGAAAGGACACAAAGTAGTAGTGTATGATGTGGCCAAAAAGGAAATCATAAATCCAAAAACTAAGTATATTCAGAAACTATTAGCAGCAAAATCAATATTAAGATTACAAATGCTTGATACAGTTAACATTCAGACTTCCATATGCATAATTTGCAAATATATTAGAGAGATGCCTAATACTTATGATTTTATATCGATAGACAAGGAGAGTCATAGAATACTACCAGATATCAGACTAGAAATGCAATGCCATGCAAGCACCAAAATATATTAGTAACTAGTACTCAAATAGCACATAGCACAGATCAGAAAACAGCTCAATTACATCAAGTCACACTGAAAATAAAAAGTACCTTCTTTTCTGTTCTATCCAGTTCTAGCATTGCCTGATCAATCTGAGACTGAAGCGTAGGATCCATGCCTACCAATGCTTCCGATATTTTCTCATTCACATTCTTAACAGCTCTAGTCACACTATTTCCAAGATATGATCCCTTGTCCCCATCTCGCAATTCAACAGCCTCATACCTGGTTTCAAAAGTAAAATCCCCCTCCATGCATAATATATTATAATTTTGAATGG